ATTATTATGACTTTTTACATAAGGCTAAAGACTAACAAAGCAAAAGAATAATTCAAATTAATTTTGTCTTTCTAACTTTAGTAATTCATGTAAATCTACTAGTGAATTGATTTACTGGTCACATAGTAAATACGAAGGGAAAATTCATTATTCTCTGTGTATCATGCTGTGTTGTATTCATCATTTCTTTCTTGCATCATTAATTGTGGTTCTGTCTGCGGTTGCAGTTTCCAACGTATTTCATTTATTCAGAGTATTGTATTTTATTTCAATCTCTACTTTGAACATTGTGTTATGACAGAATCCTTATTGTGATTTGCGGATATTTTGAATATTACTAATTTTTTCTACTTCAAAAATTTGGAAGAAATACAAGAACCTTGATATATCAGAAGGGGTTTTATGGAGATTTTAGTAATTTTATGGTTGAATTCATGAGTCAATTGAAGCTAGACCAACATGGAAAACCTGGAAGTACTGGAAGGCCGTTCCATTCACTCTCCTGCGAGATTCCAACCCAGGACCAATCAGTGCTGTGGAGTCCCACAATAGGATTTTCCATGTTGGTCTAGTTTCAATTGACTCATTAATCCAACTATGAAATTTTGATGTGGTAAAACAAATCCACTATCTAGTTAGTTAACTCATTGGATTTTTGTGAATTTAAACAGTGATAACTTGGAAACTTAAATGTTCCTGTAAACTTTGAGTACAAACTACTTGATATAATTAAACATCTAGTGTTTAAATAATTCGTTTCAACATTTATCTTTCAACAGGTATCTCGTTCAGAGAATTCTCTTCTGTCAAGCAGTTTAAGCCACAGATATTCGGACAACCAAGATAAAGTAGCTTTGATCTACCTAAATAGTAGAACAGCATTAATTTCCTGAAACCTTGAAAAAATTATATCTTTGTTGTATTCAATAAACACGATTTGAACATATCAGAATAATAATTTTTTGAAAGTGTTAATTACGTAACATTTAGTCGTAATCTTAGTTTCGATCATTTTAACTGCTTCATATAACTCTCAAAATCACCATAACTTTGAAAATTTTTGTCTTAACTACTAAACAAAAAGCGTATCATCCAAAAAATAAAGCGGAGTTTGTTCATCAGATCTAATAATTCACCTAACTGATACAAATCCGACCGATTTTTCATGAAACTGTATTTATCCAAATCTTTTTTTACTTTCGCCTGTTACTCCCAATGTAGCATAGGCCACCGACCAGCATTCTCCAACCCACTCTGTCCTGGGCCTTCCTTTCTAGTTCTATCCAATTTTTTTCATTCCTCTCATGTCTGTCTCTATTTCTCGGCGTAATGTGTTCTTTGGTCTTCCTCTTCTCCTTTGGCCTTCAGGATTCCATGTGAGGGCTCTTTTATCCAAATCTATAGTCATGTAATCTAAGTTGTATTCAAGTTTCGTATTTGGATAAAGATCAGTAAATACTCAGAACCAGTAGTATATTTGACGTTTTAACTAAATGATGTGCTTTGTAGTTTCTCACAGAAATTCAGTCGATATTAGATAGAAATACATTCGTTGTAATTATGTATAACAGGATGAATACAAGAAATTATGCAGTAATATTTAAAACAACACAAGTTTTCATAGATCCTGTTCTAAACTTTTTAACACTGATAGACTTATGTCTGTCAAGTGGTTAACAGACTATAAGTATTAATTAATCAATTAATTAACATTGAAATGTGAAATTGACTCAAATCTTTTTCAGATTTACATCTACATAGTCATGCAGTTTTACAAATCTCACTTCATTACTGAATGATCTTCATGGTTTTAGACAAATCTGTTATCAAATACATCAATACTGGTGCTAGTGAACGATCAACTTTAACAGAGAAGAGCACAACCTATGTAGACTAATTCAGTATATTTTTCCCACGTGTACTATGTCGGATTTCTAATTCATAAATTATTTACTTGATATTAACACAATGTGGAACGAAATAAACTAAATAGAAGATTCGTTTAGTATTGTAAATTAAGGCTGTATTGAGGCAGTATGCACAGGATGCACGTGTGTCCTAAATATCAATGTAAAGATTCAAGTGAACAAATCCACGTTAATTTAAACCTCACCCCATTGCAAAAGCAAAGGGCTATCAGGAATCAATAGCTAAGAGGATAACACGATGGAGTTTGAAGCGAACGGTACTTGGTTTGAGTCCCAGAGTGAACATCAACTCTGAGACGCAGGTATGTCCAGTTGGCGAATCCCAAATAGGACGAAACACGTGTCCTGGATTCCACTGCTAGTCACTATCCATCTTTGCTTATAAATATAAGATTTGTTAGATAGATAGATATAAAAATATGATTTCTTAGTTTCGAATAGGGACAGATAATAAACGTATTCTTCTTTTAGAATATTATTCGTAAGAGCAAATTGAATGAAATATGAGGATGTTAATGAATTTCGGGATATATGTGTATATTTATGTATATAGAACAGAATTTCTCAGTCTTCTCAGCCTTTACACTTTTATTACGAGGTTATTTTTGTAGCAATTTTGTGAAAGCGCTTCATATTGTTTGCCCCAGTATTCAATGTTACATTCAGGTGCAGTTTTAAGTATAATTTTATATTATTAAATAAATAAAGCTGAAATATGTCTACGTTTCTTTGACAAACGAAGTTTCTATAACCTGAAAGCATTGTATATTTAAATGACTGGCGATCATACAACTGCCTATGAAGCATAGCATAGAGTTATGCAAACGAGAAATTTTAGCGATCTCACAATTAAAGTTCGCATAAGTAATAGAGAAGCATCTTGGAGCCGTTTCAAACACCATTTACTGTAACAATCCAGCTCAAGTGAAAAATTGCTATTCATTCACGTGAACGAAACTCCTGATCTGTGATTTTTTTAATTTCTCAACTGTTGAATCAATTTTAAGCATAAGAAGCTTCATTATTGATAAAAAGAACTGTTTTTCCATTGTTATGTTTCAAGTTTTTTATTGTTAACTGCCTAATAACTAAACGATGATTGACAATTAACCGGTAAGTCACTCAAATCCATCAACACTATTCATTCCTTTGATGCCTGTGCCTCCGATTCCCGACGCATTATGTTTTTTGGTCTTCCACTTTTCCGTTTCCCTTCATGATTACAAGTTAGCACTTGCCTCGTGATGCAGTTTGATGACTTCCTCAATGTATGTCATATCCACTCCTAACGTCCTCTCCTAATTTACTCTTCAGATGGAGTCTGGTTTGTTCTCTCTCACAGTAGGCTGTTGCTGATGTTATCCAGTCAACGGATATTGAGTATCTTACATAGACAATTGTTTATGAATATTTGTACATTTTCGATGATGGTTGTGGTGGTCCTCGAAGTTTCAGTTCCATACAGTAGGATTGTCTTGACATTCGTATTGAAGATTGTGACTTTGATATTAATTGACAGTTGTTTTGAATGCCATATATCCTTCAATTGCAGGAGATCTGTTCTCACTTTGCCAATCCTTGCTTTTACATCTGCATCGGATCCTCCTTGTTCATCGATGATGTTGACCAGGTATGTGTAGTTTTTCCACCTGTTTCAGCAGAGTTTCTCCATCCCGTGTGATTTGTTTGGTGTTATCCATGTTGTATTCACAGACGATCGAGAATATTCTAATACGAACGGGTTCTATGATTGTAATGTTGATAATCCACACGCTTTATATTTTAAACGGAAGCAAAAATTGAATTGAAGCAATTTCGTTTATTTAGTAAAATACAATGATTTTGGAGTACACAATAAAGTCATCAAACTATGAGCAATAACAACTAATCAGATAACAGCAAACGTTATCGTAGAATTATGAATAAAAAAATTTTGTCGGCGTTATCCCTTAAAAGAAGAAAACTATCGTTTACCAGTAACAATCTAGATACCTTAGGCTCAAGTTTGCAACTTCACATTATTGCAATTTTCTTGACAAATATTGAACCAAAACAATTTATACATTACGTATTTCAAATAACAAACCCTTATTTTATACATGTTACATTCCTTTCCTTTATCAAAGTGATCGTACCTGTAAACTGGTGTTCATTGTATGGTTATTGTATGGTTACTCAATGAACATCTGTAACGGTAGTCGTTAAAGAACTCGGTAGTGTTTTCAAAGTTTCAGATTATGAATATTATTGGCTTCAATTATATAAGTATAATAATAAATATATTTACTTTTTGTTATATTCCAATTGGTAGAAAATTGTATTTCTGACATTTCGTGACTTAATGTAAGCTACTTCTTCAGAGTAAATAAGTAACCAAATTAAACTAATACAAATTTAAACAGTACAAAGGAAACAAAACAAATTTTATTCACATCGTTTGTAACTGGATAAATGTGGTATTATGTAAGTACTGCTTCATTCTATAATTTTAAGAAAATAATAAGACATTTTTCAATCGTTTTTGGCCGATTGTCTATGATACATAAGTGAGGATTAAAATGGAGCATATAAGTCTATAGTAGAATATATATATGTCTGAGAAATTGGCTCTAATCAAGTGTTGTCATTTCTTTATTACGAGACATAGTTTTACAACAAATGGATATTTTCAATATTTGTAAGTATTTCAATGCATAAATACATGACTAAGTACTGGTAACTATAAATTTTTTAAAAAAACTAAGCAATTTTATGCAATACAAAACGATATTTAACTAAAGTAAGCTGACTAAGCAACTAAATTCTAAGGGTAATGCATATGATACTATAAATTCGTGAATAGCAAAATCAAAAAAAATTTTTATAAGATGGTTATTAGTATAACATGAAGTTAAATGAAATACATTTGAATAATAAGTAGTATGTTATAGTGCAAACAAACAGCGAAATGTATATTTAGTAATAAGTGAATTTGGATATTGTGTTCAGTTTTTCTTATGAATAATAAAGCAAACAAACATTAAAACAATAATAAGTAGAAATTGGTGCGTTACCCGACTTTGTATGCTTTTATTACATAAGTCTTTTTGGCAACATTCATAACTAAAGGAACTAAAATTTTTTTTCCAGTAATCATATCCACAATCAGCTGCACAGAGTCTAAATGGGTAGGGTACACCTTTTATATTAATTTTCTGTAATAAAAAGAAATTGGATACAATGAAAATAAATCAGACGAACAAAACAACCAAAGAGACTAATGCAATCCAAAAAGATTCAAGTTTTCCTATCAGTCAAATAGAAAACTAACCCCAATGCGGACTGATCACTATCATTTATGTACACACATTACACAAATGAAGATGGCGTTATACTAAAGAAGTTTTAGTCATAATATTCCTTAAAACGTGACTGTAAATACAAACACACAACTTTTTTATGTTAATCATTAATCAGAATCTAACAACAGTACCTTGGATAAATCAAATTTTCTAGCTAATAATCCTACACATGATGTGATGTAGCACTGATATAGCATTGATTAATGGAAATTCGTTAAATCGAATCTAATTAGTAAATGAATAATAACAAAAACTACTTGAACACTGTTTATGCATTAAACTTACTGCACACCATCTACAATCATCTTGTTCATTAACTAGTCGTGAGTGTGGATTAAATGGTACTGAACAGAAAGCGCATGTGTAACACTTTAGTGATAGACCTGATATTGAAAATGAATAGGAAAAAAAGTATATTGTGTATTTATACTACTTCTGCAACTGTTTTTATTCAACACAGGATCAAATTTGATAAAATCATCCTTATTTATTAATATGAGTTTGTACGTATTTCTCATAATTTCAAAGTAGTTTCTCATGAAAAGTTTGTGATTGGGAGCCAGAGAAGACTGAGTGATTTTTCCAGTTGACATCAGTTTTATAGTAATTACAGGGACTAAACTGAAAAATTTATTGTCAAGTATTCATTTTAATAAACATGTGTTTATTGGCGATTAAATATAAGGTATTTTTCAGACTTGTTTTATTAAAATACTGGCATTGCCCCTAGTATACCAATTTATTATGACTAAAGACATAGTTGGTTACTTCTCCCTGTATAAGTGAGCAAGTACTGATACAGCTTGATATATAGAAGAAAATTAAGAATGCGGATCATCAATTATTGATAATACGAAATAATACACAACAAATGAAACTATCGAACCCTACTCCCACTTTTTTAAAAACTGTCAAAAATCCAAAGTGTTGTATATGCTTTACTTATCTGGCCTATAGGCAAAATTGAATATGCTTAACTAGGTAGTAATTGATGCAAATTAATCAATAACTGGACGCATGTATACGATTTACAATATCATTTCACTTGATTGCATTCACTAACAACATAACAAATTACTGAGTAACATATTCGCTTCTTACTGCTGACAAAAACAAATGTGAAGTACCCTTTTAGTGGTAGAGTTTAACCAGATGATTTTAGTATACTATAAATATCACTTGAAAAATGCTTTTAGTGGATAATCTTGGATTTTTAGTCCGAATCCCAAAATCATTTCTTGTATATATGAAATATATACATCAAAAGCTCTTTCGGTTAAATACAATTGAGACTAGTGCCATTTTGGAGTTTCTACAATTAAGTTATCGAGGCGGAATCGTGGGTGCGCACTGCTGAGCAGTCCCACAATAGGACGAAACAGCCATCCGGTGCTTCCAGGTTTTCCATGTTGGTCTAGCTTCAATTGACTCATGATTTCAACTATATAAGTTACCGAAGTTGATTTCGAATTAAAGATTGTTTTGCAAACAATGTAACAGTCAAAAAGTAAAATATTTTAACAACTAACTTCGAACAAAAAAACCGCGACAAAATGAGAAACGTGTAGCATCAACAGTTACAACACTGAATTTAGCCATATGGAATTTAATTAAATTCGAAAATATAAAAGACTAACTGAATTCGAATTCTTTCCTATTATTACTAATAATGAGGACAAATACAACAAGTAAAAATATGACATGAAATCTCATCAATCCCAGCAATATAGATAATATCGAAAATCTATCAGATTATAACTTGTGAAGAAAACGGTATTAGATAGATATAGCAACTACAATCATTAGCTGTTTAATCAAAATGATTTACTGTCCGAATACAAAGTTTAGTTTCCATCTATTCCTACTGTGATGTGTGCTACTGATGTCGATAGATATAAGTAGCATGTATCATTAATCGAAAGCGAAATACCGTGCGGCGGAGGTTTAAGAAGATCGAAGAAAAGAAAACGAGGACTGTGAGTGACTGGTGTGGAAATGAAGGAACAGATAGGTTTGAGACGATTGATTGACATTTTGCAAATGAAGTATTTACTGTGTGGTTCTCAGATTTTACTAAGACGTTCTGTAATTTGGTATTTCACTTGTGTTCTCGTTCACTATTTTACGCAAGTTGATTCAAATTATATACTTACCAGAAATTAGGTTGCAACTTGCAGTTATAACTGCAAGTGTTCAAATGTGTACTGAATTCAGTCTTTTCCTCTGTTAATCTGCACGACAAACGGTTTATCGATTACATCACATCAATTAGAAACTCAATATGAATGACACTATTTAATGGGGTACAATCGACGAAAACCTGCGTCACAACACACTATTTAAAATACATTTGTCTGAGTGCAATACTATAACCGATCGAGTAAACTAACCTTAACTCATCTTAAAATGCTAAGCTGAATATGTGGGAAGTTACTACAAATGAAGGCCATGATGCATTATCTTCGATTATTTATGGTAGTATTGAAGAATAAACTTAAATAGAGAAATTGTCATTTTATTTGTTTTTTCTGATCAATCTCATTCCTTTAACAACAGGATTGTGGACCGTTTTAATTCCATCTTCAACTTCCCTGGATTTCACCTAGCGGTATTAAAATTAAAATAATAGTTAATTTGAGCTAAATAATTCTCTGGTAAATCATAAAATACTTAGTCTTGATGAAAAATTGGCTCACTGAACATATATGTACTGCAATTTGAACTTATGTCCTCTCACTTTATCATTCATTAAGTTGAATGTCCGCTGTTCGATCGTACTATCAAAAGTAATTTCAGAGATTTCCCACAGAAAAAATGATTAACGATTCAGAGTGACGAATATATTGCTTTTGAGCAGTTACATTTTACACTGTAAGTCAGAGTGAAGCTAATTAACGTAACAATCAAATCTGTACTCAATCTTAACAAATTCTATTAGAGGGATTATGTATATTGTATATAATACTATCTAACATTTATCATAAAGTGATGTTGAATAGTCTAAATAAAACAACTGAATAGAGTACAACTCTGTATATGTTACTTTTTGGTACAGCACTTGCATATGAACTATTTGGTATAATGTAAAATTAACAAATAAACACTTACTGTATTCTGTGTTCAACAAAAGCAACATTGTCACCAGTATAATTTGCACAAGATACATCTTAGTCATCTTGAAGTGTATCGAAATCTAAATCCTAGCTCCAAACGTTTAAGATTATATCAATTTCTGTAATTATTTAATTTCACTGTTTTACAAAATGTGCTAAAATATATTTTAATGACTGACCAATAAGAAATATAAGTGATCAATGCATACAGCAGACTTATTAAACATATACTGTTTATCAATTGTTGGTTTCATTTATAGCTATGATTATTACTAACCTAGACTTTGACGTTTGCCAGAAAACCTTAATTGATTATTCCCTCATTTACATTCGTTTTTGATTGTTTACTTATATTAATACAATTTTATTAGTTTTATGTTCATCCTGCAAGACTTGATTTTACTTGTTCATGCACTGTTAACAACAAAATTGAGTTATACCCAGAAATAGAACCAGATGTGTTAATGAATGAGTTTAACACTTGTTAGAGAGAAGAGAAACATGTTTTACACTAAAATTAGACATTTATCATTAAAAGTAAACCTAAATGCCAATTATAAAAAATTATTCATTACAATTCATCATTCATAATAGAAGTAATTTATGAAATGATTTTAGCACCTTTTCCAATTACTTGAAATTTAGGCTTGAATGATAAGAACTGGATGGGGAATAAATATGATCATAAATAATAAATCACTTTTATCCATTTCATTATTCTTTGATACATATACTGATTAGAATGAAACAAAGCTTGTTCATTAATCACATCAAATAAATCAGTTGGCTATATACCGAAACAGCAATTATGACGATTCTGGTTAAACTTGGTAATAATAATTTATTTGTTCCTACTTCCAGTCATCATTCCAAAGATCCAGCAAAAAACGACTTCAGACAATAAATAATATGCAAGTGTTTCCATTCCCAGTAAATATTGTTTACATAATACTGATGTGTGGTTAACCAAAAGGACTCTCACTCGTCAGATTATATGTATAGTATTTAAGCGACTAAATCGTGAATAACCCTTATCAGATGGTGAGTCCGATAAATTCATAAAAACTTTATAATGTTACCGTATTTAATTGTATTGCATTCTGTCTTTCTGTCTCATTTGAAATCAGTTGTATTGAGTTCATTTCCTCAGGATCATTTTCAGATCTGTTCTTCTCATTCCTACCCATTCAGTCAGTTCAAGTTCAAAATTTTTTATCACCTGACCATCACTTTATATGTTTTCTAAGTTAAGCGTTTTCGCAGGGGACCTGAAGTCGTGGATTCGATTTCCAGAATTTCCTTCCAGTGCTTCCAGGTTTTCAATAGTTTTCTAACTTAGAACAGTCCAAGGTTTCAATGAAATTCAACAATATCTACAACCTCTGTCTGATGACTGTAGATTAGCTGGCTACGAATGTTTTTATTAAACAGAATACACCCATTAAGACATTAAATAAGAGAGATTGGTTCACCGAAGAGTTCTCTTATCAGCGAATTCATTTTTTAATATACTTTTGTCTCTTTATTTCATAGGTTGACTTTTCAACAAATAAATGATCACATCAATTCAGTTTCAAGTGTTTGAATCTTCATGTTGTTTGTATTAAAAACTGCGATTGATCAATTTTTTTAGGATATGTGCATACTAAGTGAATTACCTCCATATTCCAATTACTGACAATAATGTTCAAGTAGAATTGGATATTGGTTTGTAGTGGGACTCCGAACATGCGTTTCATCCTATTATAGCAATGTTTATTTCTTGACATTCCTAAATAGTAGATTTTTTGCTCATAACACAAACGTTATGTAGAAGAAGATTAAATATTTCTTCTGTTTATGTTGATTAGAAAAAAACAAAACACGAGAAATTTAAAAAAAAGATCATATACACAGTGACTTCACCAAAAAGAATGATGAATGGGAGTAACATTCATTTTCTACGCATAAACTTGCAATCAAAAATATACTTTTTCTGAACAATATAATGACAAGTGAATGTTAAAACAATCATAAGTAGCATTTGACAAGCTACGCAATTTTGTGAATTCTTACTACATTAGTCAGTGTGATAAAAGAAAAAGTCGAAAACGTCATAATTTTTTCACTAATAGTTAAATCTACAATCAGGTACGTATTGTCAAAACAGAATCGGGATATCTCTGACTTCAACTTTTAATGATAAAAGGGAAGAAAATTGGAAATGATCGATTTGGATGAACGAAAATTTCAAAATATCTACTTATACGTACAGACAATCTGAACATCCGAGTATATCCAATCATTAGATAATAAGAAAAGTAAACTACTATTTAGATTGACTGCTGTATTCCATTATGTATTAAAGTTTGCAGGCAATTAAGCTCGCAAATCTTGTCCACAGGTAACTGACATTATATGAAGATTTTATGAAGATAATAAGTTTCAAATCTTCAGTATAAATGCGAACAAACAATCCAGTTTTTACCCCCGTTAAATAATAATTTTACTATATCAAATCAGCTGAGTTTTGAATAATAATATCATAGATGGTTTTGTGTAGTAAGGAAAAAAACGATATACATAAAGAGACAGTATCCATATAATTTATCCTAATAGATGTTCAACGGTTCAGTTTGTTTGAAAATCTAGTACTCGTTGGTGTCAGAATAGGTTGGAGTAAAGTTAGGTTAGGCCAAACTGAGAGAAACCATTGGTTTATAAAATCACTGACTACTGGAGAGAGATATTTTGTAAGGTCTGAACTACCTCGGTCGGATCAGCTTGTCGCTCGAAATCAATGACTATAGATGTTTGATGACAGGGTTCAAAATATGTTGCTCTCTAACTTCCTTTCCCTGTTAGAGTTCTATAAACATGGTTATTTTTCACGGGATGGAGATAATTATTATTATTAACTTCATTAAATATTATATTTTTGATACAATATAGAATTCTCAGCACAATGTATTTCAACAAGTTTCCGTTTCTTATTTCTTGATCGATCCTGACGACAAAATTGAGTGATCGACAGTTAGTGGTTAGCAGTCCGGTCAAATGACGTTTGAATAATGTGCATTCCTTTCGCTGCACATTGTCAACAACCCCGATATCTCTGATTTGGTCTTTGTAACTTGTACAACGAAAATCTGTACACTTTTGAGAAACGCACCCGAATAGGCTATGCAATTAATGGCCATAATTATGTATTTAGACAAACAAAATCCCATGACTTGTTGAAATATATAGATGACAAGAACAGGTAGCCCAGATGTTCAAGCAGGCCGCCTATTACACTGAGATGCTGACCCTATGACCAACCCTTCTCTTAAGTGTGTACTTGGGACCGATTGTAACCCCAGAAGATTTACAGGCGGAGTTCAAAACAACTGTCAACCAATATCAATGTCACAATCTTTAATACGAATGCCAAGACAATCCTATTGTATGGAGCTGTAACTTCGAGAACAACCACAACCATCATTAAAAATGTACAAATATGTAAGATACTCAATGTCTGTTGACTGGATAACATCAGCAACAGCCTACTGTGAGAGAGAACAAACCACACCCCATCTGAGGAATAAATTAGGAAAAGATGTTGGAAGTGGATAGGACACACGTTGAGGAAATCATCAAACTTCATCACGAGGCAAATGTAAACTTGGAACCGTAAAGGGAAACGGAAGAGGGGAAGACCGGAGAATTGGGAAGCACAGATATCAGAGAAATGAATAACCGCTGGAAATAACTGTGAAGGATTGTCCAGGACAGTGTTGTGTGGAGAATGCTGGTGGGTGGCCTACTCTTCTCTTTGAGGTGTAACAGGGGCAAGTAAACAATCGATATATTTTGAAATTGAATAGATCTGGTCAGACATAGCATAAATTTCACTATATACAAAGACTGGATGTTTAGACATTCTTATACTCAGACATTCGATACTCCAGACGAAAAATACTTGTGAATCATTGTGACAGAAATGCCCAAATCTGTTTGATAAAGCGTAAATCACTATTTATAATCAGCCATAAAGATATATCAAAGACCTGATGGGCAGAGTAGGTAAGAAACATCTGTACATGGATTTTTAATAACAGACGAGTTTTTATTAAACAGATTATTGATGAGGTTAAAATGTATGCGGATAATGACTCTAAAAGAATAAATTACTTTATCTATCCAAAAGCCAACATAACACATGTAAGTGTGACATTGTATTAGACACTTCAACCAGATGTTTTCAGAGCAAAACATCTAATCACTACATGAAAATGAATTGAATGACCGTTAGACATCAAAAGTAGCTATATGTAATAATGTATGCCTTTCATGTACAGAGCTTGTTTACGAAATGTTCATAATAAGTAACCAAACCAACAAACATTGATGAAAAACTTATGTTATAAAATCCTATCTTAAAGTGAATCTTTTTGTTTCTTCATTTGTATTTCTAAGTCCTTTTTATAAAAGAACATGTAAACTATATTCATGAAATGTTCAATACTAAATTCAGCAGAGTCAACATTAGTGTGCTACAAACAAATTTCACTTCTATATATATCTCGTATTTCCCCCAGAAAGCTTGATTTTCTGATGAAAATCTTAACACTTTAGCTATTGGATCAGTTATACCCAATAAGATTTTTATTTTACTTAGTGTTAGACAAATCATAAAAAGCCTGGCATATCATATGATGTTTCTAGGCCATATGGTTTGAGTTGGCTATTATAATTAAGTAAATTTCCAATCTAACGAAAGTCTTGGCTTGTACATTAGTTTCAGTAAGTTTTTGCCAATAAAGCTTGTTTCTGTTTTGATCTGATTTGTTTATTGATTAATTATTTCAATAGTAATAATCCAATAGATATATACATGTTGAAATTTTAATCCATCACAAGCTACATTGTATACTTTGATGAAAGCATTTCAAAGATAAATATGGAATATATGATAACTTTTGACAATAAAAACTGTCCTTATCACCATAAAAGAAACTTCTTAGTATTCTGTAAACTTGTAGACCCCATAAGTGACTAAAGTGAAAGCAAGTTCAATCAATACTGTTTAACTATAGCTTTC